TACGGAGGGGCACCAGTGAGATAAGATGAGCATGAGGTCAAGTCGATTAGCCTGTCGTGGCATTCACCAAATATTTATAACGATAGTTTCCAAGGGGAAACGCGTGGAGGTCAAGCTGTCATAGTAAATAGCTAGCAATGGGATCATTAGTCCACATTATTAATAACCCCCTTCCCATCTTATACCGTTTTGATGATGATTAAAAGGTACATCATTCCAGAGTGACATATAATTAATAAGTAAGTATATATAAAAATATAAAATGAACAAAATTATGAGCACGCTGGCAATACCATGGAGCGCTACATGTTTGTTATAAATAGTACAAATTAAATCGTTATTGCCAAATTACAGAAGTTTTTAAGATACCCTAAAAAGTAGCCAGAAGTTGACCATAAAACTTTCAATAATACCGACAGATTTTTGCTAGTTAATGAACTTTATAAAATCGGTAAATTATTATGAATATGAAGAGAAATTTTTGAAAATATTTTGAACTGACAATAAAAAAATAGCAACAAAATCTTATTTGTTTTATATTTCACTAGCTGACCCTGCGAATTTTATAGAGCTTGATGATAATGGAAACACCAATAACATACTTCATTAATCTTAATGAAGTATGTTATGTCTTCTGCCATGTCGAAATTCAATATGTCAAGCGAAATAAACTGTTGCAGTTTCTAAGACGCCTATATATTAAAAATACCTTTAAATAATCCAGGTAACTGTAGTGAAACGTATTGTCATTTTATTCAAATATGATCAAGTAACTTACCTAATGTTTGTAGGTATATTTAAGTACTAGAATCGGCTACTATCTATTATCTATAACCCTAGGTAATAAGTGTTGTCCAACCCCAACATATTACATTTATTTTTGGACATTTTCTTATTTTATTATGACTTGATATTATAAAATACACAATCAACCTTAATTTTGCACCTTTCTACCACCGACCCCTATTTTTTATTAGCATATCGCTATTAAAAAATAGAGGTCTAGGTAGTACTTAAATTCATATTGCTAAACAGTGTTTGCTGGGACACCTAGTATATATATATATATATATATATTGTACATCTATAAAATATGTGTCACAGTGACGGCAATCGCATTTTGTTTACTATTAAAAATACTCTGTTGTTTACTGACAATGGTACATTTAACAATGTGTAACAATAGCGCAGCGGTAGCAACAGAGCATATGAGATTGTATCATTGTCTGTACGCAAGGCCACAAGGCAAAACCTAAGAACATAGATACTAAAAGCTATTCGATAATATAAAAAGAAATCATAACTGTAAATGTTTAATTAATCCTAATAATATTATTGGCTGAACGGATCATAATGAAATTTAAAATAAAAATGTATATTATATCATGAAGACGACCAATAGGTAAAAATAGATACCTATATACAGCTACTTAATTATATGAAAACAAAAATCTAAGCAATTTAAAATTGTAAAAGAAAAAAGCAATATGAGGCGGATTCAAATCTGTCAAATATGAAAAAAAAACAAAAATTATCTTATTTATCGACAATTTGACATTCTCAAATTCATTATGACGTCGATAAGTCGAAAGCGTTTATTACGACATCAATAATTATCAATGTCTCTCAGTGCCTCATCCGAGATTTCTGTCGTAACAGGAAATTTAATTCTGCGGTTTATAACAAAAGTATAAACTTTTAACACGAATTCTATCCACATTATCGTCGTCTAACAAGAACATTTATAGCTGATTCGCAAAGGGTTCTTAAACAAATTGTGTCAGAGATACATTTCAAATCGATTGCGATTTTGAATCTTATTGCTGAAGACATCAGATCCAATAATAACCGCGTTATAACGATGTGACCTGTTTAAACATGGTGTCAAGAGGTCCTTAGTGTATGCGATACAGTCAAACACTTATTGTGTCCGATTGAAATTGCACTTGAGGTAGTTGATAAATTGGTAGGTAATTTTATTACTTGAGGTCACTGTCTGTTCTTGTTCTTCAAATACTGATATATGACTACTTAGTCTAAGAATAATACTAACAAATATTTACTCTATACAATATAAGCTACTCTATACATAAAAAGCTTCTCTGCTTTTTTTACATAAATTAGAAAAAAATAAATATTTAGTAGTTATTATCTGCTACGCTTGGGACTAGATGGCGCTGTGTGTTGTCCAAGGCTATTATTATTATGCCTATTATTGTTTTGATTTATAATGATTTGATATTTTTTATAATAATCTCTAATGAGCCAATATGGCGAACATAAATTATGGACAACTAATTATTTCGGTTCCAAACCTGATTTTTAATAAAGAAACGTCTTATGAATTAGATTTAATAAAACTTTAAAACATAAATACGCTATAACGATATATTATTTGCAAATGTTAAAAAACAAATACAAGAACCTATCTCGCACAGAATTACGTTCGCACCCAGCCATTGTTCCATTTGACTTATGGCTCATCACAGTCAACCAAAATTCTTCGGGCATTGTGCACAATATTACGATAATTTAATATGCTTTTATAAATCACAACGTTATTTTTAGTTGTTAAACTAGAACGTAACTCATTTTGCGGTTTGATTATCATTATGTTTAAAATTCAGCATCATTTGCAGCGAGTGCGACCCACATAATGAAACAAATACATGTGTGCGTTTTAGCTAGCTCACAACTTACGACCCAGTCTGTTTAATACTGATACCTGAATTATAATGAGTTTGGTTCATATAAAGTTTTATCAACCAAACGCGCTACTAACAGAGTACAATAGTAACAACATATAGGTATTATATAATATTTTTTGTATCGGTCTGGGTAAATGTATCAATGAATTTATATCAGTTGTCCCGTATCCATATCAAGCTGCGCTTAGCTACTGACTAATTAGCGCTTTGCTAATTTTTCTGAGATATTATCATTATTTATGCAGACCTAATACAAAAATATATACACACATTTATAAATTAATTTAAAACATGTCCAACTGATAACAAAAAATAATGTTGTAATAATAAAGAGAATTTAAGTACTTTCATAAATATGGAATAAGATTACAAAATTATGGAATGACCAGAATCGACAAATAATAGTCCTATTGACGTTAATAACGACTTAAATGCAATCTGATGCCCTGAAAATATCAAAGTTCAAGAGTGAAAAACAAGTAGGTAAACAAGTTTCTTTATGCCAATCGAGAATTGGGAGCAAGTTGGCGACTGTGGGTACGTCTTGGACATTTATAAGCCGTAAATGGTCGTAGACACACGTAGTTACAAAACAAAATGCCTTCGGCAAAATGACTCAGGCGCAACACTGTAATGGACTTACATATATGAAAAAATCTTACAAATCATCTGCTCAAATAAAAATACTGTCCTGACCTATTGATTGATCTAGCAATTGGATATCCATATCCGTATGGAACTAAAACATAAAAAATATAATAGATATCTGATTAAGAAGGAATTTCCAAAATTCCGCGCAGTCAAAACAGCAGTGAACAGCTAGTAGATTTATAAAAATGGCGCCCAATTTGTATCTTAGTGTGCGTCTGTTTATTCGTTTATTTTTATTTGCTATAGCGTATATGTGGGAGCGGACGTGTCATCTCCGCGCCTTCCTTTTGTGGTCTTACGTGCCTCTGTTGATCTGTTCAGACTCGAATCGGAAATGTATTCAATCTAACTTTACATTAGTCTATAACTCTTCATTAATCGTGTTATGCATTCAGCAAGTTCACTTTTGACGCAATCGAATTAGGATGAATTCTGTATTATATAATATTAATTAGCGAATTTTTGTGTTCTTTTGTAACTTCATGGTTTGTTTATATTCCTATTTCTGTATGTTTTGTAAGAAACACAAAACTTAAAAAAATCTAAATATATAAAGTTTCAATAAAAAAAGTAGTCACTGGAGTTAGTATGAAAATAGTTAATATCCTATCCACAAGTAATTTGTTAGAGGATTTAAAAAAATTGTAAACATAATTATAACCTTACAGGTAACCACCTTTATAGGCTGACTTGTATGATTCACGCTTTCTCATTATCTGATGCGACGCGAGTAAACAGTAAAACTCGTATCTACAACAAATAAATACCCGATAATTAACGAACACTTGGACAAGACAATTTTATCGAGAACAACTCATGCACCAGATAACAGTGTTAGAAAGGGAATTATGGGTACTGTCATTGTCACCGTTCATACTGGAAGTTTCTATGACTAATAGCTGAACTGGAAATGTTAAACAATGGGTTGATGGAAAGCAAATCACTCTCACTTTTGTGAAGTCATACTAAAATTGGCGTCGGTCTAGGAACCAGCATTTGCGGCGTGACGGTCTAATCATCTAATGGGATAGGTACTCGTTGGCCCTTCCACTTTCCCCACTTCTTACGTAATTCAATCAACAACCCGTATCCGTTTGGACTCCCCTTGTACCGACCACCAGGAGAGTTATTTTGACAATCAACGTAGATAATAATACATCTTTAATAACGTGCAATTCATAGTATAAATAGTGATGAAATAGACAAAGTGACCTTAAAGAGTAAAGTCGTCGAACTAGATATAAATGTACATATGTATTTATTAATATTATATAAATTCTGTTATCAGTGAATGCACGTGTATAGACGTGTGCTACTTAGCATTGTCTAACGTTGACAAGTTCTTGTTAATAAACGAAGACAATTTTCATAATATACATGTTTATAAATATACCTTAGGAATATTGTTTAGTCATTCTAATGAAAAAAAACACGTGCAAACATTTACTTGGAACAAATACATTATTTACTATTACTAATAATGAGTAATGAAATAATGGGAAACCATTTTAGAGATTATATTAATCGTAAGCAAAGGGGATAAGCATAATTAATTTTCATGTGTTTGACGGCAGGACGGAGTTTGATCACTAACCAACGGATAGTAAGAAATATAACTACAACCAAATTTCTTTGTTACAGGTGCTCAATATAAAAGAAGGAGATATTCCAAAACAAACAATATACTTGGTCATAACTGGAGCCTCTAGTGTGACCTTCGAAGCAAACTCTCTAAGTGAACTAGACGACATACGCAAGATACATCTGTTGGAATGCTCGACGATTATCTTAAAAAAATCAGCAGCAGTCAAATTGCAGCTGGTGAATGGACTCCTCGAAATAGAAGACTGCAATTCACTCATCATCGAGAGCAACACCTTCACGCAAATTAAGGGTGAGTATTTTATAATAATACTATTACAGCATCGCGAATTCGTGACCAGAAGTCTGTCAGTTTCAGCTTACTAAGAAAATTCATATTAAGTGTGTAAATGAGAGGGCTTAGTTAAAATTACGATTCAAAATAACAAATTAAAAAATATGCTTAAATCCGAGACACGCTCCAATTTAAAATATATTTATGGATTATTGATATTATAATTGATGCTAATCCCGGCTAATAATAGAATAGAAAATTACTTATTTATTTGAACTTACATTGTAGCATTTTTGAACAGTCATCACTTTATTTTTTAATCTATAGGTCATTCGGAAAGCTGTCTTATTACAAGAAGAACGTGCAAGAAAATTGCTTTGAAATAATTTTGTTGTGACTTCAAAGTATGTGTAACTTCATTAGCGCTAGTTGATAGTAATAAAAACTATCAACTAGCACTAATTAGAGTCAAAATATTAAATACACTACTGGTTGAGTAATAGTACAATACATATATTTATTCTACTAAAATGATTGATTCAAATTGTTGTCCTCATTACGCACTTATTTTCCTTCCAACCACCATTTTTACAACCCGTATATTTATCATTTACAAACGATGAAACAGACAGATATCTGAGATACCAAATGTGTCATGCTGAAGCTAATACAAATTTTGATGCAAAATACGCAATCGCGATTTAAAATATACTAAACAGGTTGAACGCTACAATATTTCTATGCGAAATTATGTATGTATTTAAACGGTATGGACAGTAATTTACAATACATGTATATGTATTTTATCTACATGTGTCGATGTTATGGTATCGAAGAAAGATATTTTTAAACAATGTCGTATTTCTAAATTATATGTATTATATACGGTGAAGCTAATACTTAGTTACATTAGATATTCCACGTGCGCTTCCGTGATTTGAACGTAGATAATAATACTGTAATATTTAAATAGAGTTACGAAAGGTGTCCGGCATCTTTGCTGAAGGCCAGGCACGTGACAAGCTTGATGATAGATGTTGCGGTGACCATTGATGTCAAATCTAAATTTTATTTAGTTCCGATAATTTGTAAGCATCCTCAAAGTCGTCATTATCCACATCATTTACACTTTCTTTCATTAACTAATACATAGTGGATATAGTCTTGTTATCTTGTAAACTACAGTACCTAGAGAATTGACTTAAGAATTCTACTACATTTATATGTCCATTGTTAATTTTTTGTATATCTCTTACAATTTTCGTTAATTATAAATATAGTATGTAGACCATACTGCATATAACTTATAACTGATTTTTTGGTGAAAGATTTCTTAGATTAATATACCTAATGCGAGTTTACAGTTTTACCACATAAGACTGCAACAATAATATTGCTTGGTCCTTCGTAACCGGTTTAAATCCGAGGCCTATTACGTATGGCTGGCTACCGGACGGGCCCAATTATCGACTACTCATAGCTCATCTAGATGTACCACAATTATAATAAATTTTAAATATACAGAAACTTTTTTACTTTTTGTATACTATAACTTTAGTAATTGTAAATTATATCAAAAAGGTAATTTTTAATTAACCCTTTACTTAGACACTATGAAATTCATCGAATCATATAAAAGAAATTTATAGTCTAAAAATAGTCACCTCTGTATTAATTTTACATTTATTTTATTGGGCATCACTAGCAATCGTCCTGGCCATAAATAGCAATCGTCTATATACATACATGAATAGCAACAGACATCAAGTCGTCATGTACAACACGTGGTTCCCTTTAGCATTCCTGTTCCTGAGAACTAATTATTCACCAGAACTAGTAATTTCAATGCCATATATCACCCTTCAAACCAAAACATAGGCTACAAAGCCTCGGACTGGTAGCTACAATAGGTGAAACGAATATAATAAAGGTAAATTCTAAAGAGACCACAGTTGGACAATAATGATACCTACCACATGCGACATGCTGTTCAGGCACATTAAGGGGTGAACAGGACCGTGACATTGTAGGGCCCGCATAAAACAAATCAAAGTAATCCGATATGTACAGTATAGAGTCAATAGAAAGTATTGAACAGAGTAGCCTGTGATGTGCTTGATAATGACACTTGAGTTCTCGACCCCTCCGTATAAATATAATTGATTTTACAAAACACTGTTAAATATTCCTGAGAAAAAACTTCACGGGACAAGACGGCCTTGGTTGTCCAGGTGGACTGCCGACTTCCATTCCTCTCACGCTTCATTTATATTAATAAGTATGATTTTATACAATCATACTTACATATTGACATAAAAGTTGTTTCTGTTGTTTTTTTTATTTATGTAAAAATTATTTTATTGTGCATGCATATACGAAAAAAATTTTTTATAGTACCCATAACAATAACTCTGCTTAGCTTGGGACTAGATGTGCGATGTGTGATTTCTCTAAGATTATTATTATTTTTGTCAAATTTAATGCTTCTTTATTAATATTTCTTCATTAATATCTCCATTTGTAGTTCAATTTCCTATGTGTATACCCAAACACAATGTAATGCTTTATTAAAAATTAATACAAAACAATACAAGTAATCATTATTTTTATAAACGTAATATATGCATTCAATAGTATTACTTTTTTTATTCTATCATCATACTTATATTAAGGTTAGTATGAAAAAAGTTCCCATACTAATTTGGCTTGATTTTAATATTATAGAGAATATTTTATCAATAATATATATTCACCATAAATATATAAATTTAATAATAAACACGATTAATATTATTGACTAAAATAATATATGAAGTAGAAGTTTATTTGAACTCGTCTGGATTTTCTGGTAGGCTTCACAGTCGGTCGCCTTTTAAAGTAAAAGGCGGACGAAACCGCTGGACAGAATAATATATTTAAAATTATAGTGTAATAGACGACACTGAAATAACCAAGTATCAATGAGTTAATGCGAACTCAACATATGGCCAGAAGCTGTGCATTGAGAAATGACGCATGCATGTCGCATCGAAGACAAACAAAAAATGTTAGTGAGTAGCTATGTTATCGTTTGCGTAGAGTTGTCACTACGCTAATTCAACAGTTTAATAACGTAATCCTCACTAATAACTTAGTAGCCGTGTAACTTTAAAGTTTGTAAACCGATTGGAACAAAACCATAACAAATTTTTAAGTGATGCTTAAAATTCTATTAATAAATTAGTCAAAAGCACACCCAAGTCGATGAAAGCCGTTTCTGAGATTAGCCCGCTCAAGCTCACAGACCAACATATGAACTATATTTTTTAAGCAGTCTATGTATTATTGAAGATAAAATTTCATTACAATGTCGACCTCGCTGTTGTAATAGTTTAGAATGGTATTGTACGAATATAAATATGTAAATTAGTTCTAAGAAATTTTGTTAATTCTATAAGATAGAGCAATTAAGGAGGTATATACAATATAATATAATCAAGACAAAGCAGACGCCTACAGAAAACACGTTTGATAATTAAGGACTACTTCTGAGAAAAAACTAATTCCTACTTGATAATTTTAGTCGAAATCCTAAATGTAATAACAATAGAATAATATATTGAAGTGCTGTAAACGACTGTGTAGGAATGTCAATAAGTTTTACACGAGCTTATAATTAGATAGTCAGATCACAGGCGTGAATGTAATTGCATTTGACACGCTTGTTATAACTCTGTTTTAAACAGTTATGGCACGCAATTATAGGTTTTATATCAGAGACACTAAGGTCGCAGGATATACCTGATACGGGTATCATTTAATTTTGCTAGCAGTAAACACAGATGCAATCCGTGTTGATGACTAATATTGTTATTTCAGTTAACCCCCGCCCCCCTTACTCTTAATGTAAAAATATATGATTGTTACGTCCAAAACAAATCAAAATTTTTTTATATTATTATATACAAACCTGACTAATGACTATTGAATTGTATTGAAAGGTAAAAGTAAAAAAAAAAAAAACAAGTAAAACATAGTCTATAAAAATTGTTGCTATCTCACAAATAAATCGTTATAACTTTAAAATTTAAAGAAAATCCACTTATTCTTCATTGGAACCTGTTTCATCTCCTTCAATGGTATCTGTTTCGATCGACGGAGTTACCAGTGTATATAGACCTATTTGAAATCGCATGTCTTATCGAAATCCTTCAAAGGTTTTAAGTAACAAAAGTTCAACGCCATTGGTCGACGCACGACCCTTACCCGCCACGCGCAATCGGCCGGACTTAAGAACCGTTATACTACTTTATTATGTTGTTAATTCATGTTATATTTTATACAAAGTTTATTCTTATTTACGCAAATGTACCTATATTTGGACTATTGAAAATTATTTTTACACAGTTAAACATAAACAATGCTACAATATTATAATATGGCATGCAAGGCGCAACAATGTTTTAAGAAAATTTGGATCATTATAACAGTAGACATAGATACAAAAAGATGGGTGACGTGAAAATTATATGACAAGAGAGAGAATGCAGATATGACTGCGAACAAAGATGAATGATGATATGGGAAATTGAAAATATTGGTGATCATAATGAATCTTTTTGTAAATAAAATTGCTCTGTGGTGTGTTAAAAAGAAGATAATAAACCCCCTCAGTGATCTAGCTGTACAGGACACTGTTAGCGGGTTGTAGCGAGTTTTATTTCTCGGACAGTATAAGCATTTGTATTCATAAGTACGATTGTTTGTATGGGTATGGGTGTTACTATGCATATTACGTATTTATATCAGTTGTCTAGTACCCATAATACAAGCTCTGCTTACCATGGGACTAGGTAGCGCTGAATTAATTGTCCAGGATTATTATTATTATTATTATGATAAAGAATGGACATTATCATTGAAGAAGTCATGTTTTTTTTCTATTAATTTAAATGGAGATCTCTGTAGTGGTAGCCGGCAGTGAAGCGTCCGTCCGCGGATGGCCATCTAAAAATACACGTTTCCCCGACTCGGCATTCGTGTTTTACAGGATAATGACTCATGAGACGAGAGAGTGTAATACAAAAGCGTGAATATATGTTAGACAATAGGCGAGTGTTCCCCCACTATAGTTGCAGTTACAAAACAACGGCGGTTTGTTTAAATTTTCAATTTTGACGCAACAGTTTGTTACCACGTATATAAGTACATGGATGCTTTTGTATAGTTTTCTTATATTATATTGTGCAATTATATCGGCCATTGCAATGTCATTTTTAGCGAATCAAAAGCACATGTAACTCATAAATTATTTTTTTTTGACGGTATGATAAAGTATTTAAAAATAAAATCACACCATTTCACACCTTTGACTATCTTTTGTAGCCTATATATTAACCCACATCTCGCTTAATATGTATACATATATTGTTTTTGACAAAATCATAGACATAGCTTTAACATTAAACATTAACACACAAACAGTTAAACAACCAGTTCTTAAAATTGATCGCATCATTTTATTATAATGTAAACATTGCTTGGAGTCAGGAACATTTAATGATGGAGCTACTATCTATAAATAAGACATTGATAAAAATGGGAGTTTAATGAGAACAAATATGATTTTTTCATATTTTGAATTGTGTACTAAACTAATATGAGAAATTTTTAACCAAACCATTAAGAGCAACGATAGTTGCACAAAATATCTGCTGTTAAGAATATTTCAAAATCATTTTTATAAAATAGTTAAACAATCTAATAAATCCACAGAGTCTGAAAACTAGTCTAATGTCATTTACAGGACCATTGTCGGTGAACATCAGAAATTGCTACCGTGCTTCTATAGAGGGAACCGCATTCTCCTGGTTATTTGAGATAATCATCAGCGACATAGGGGAACTGACGCTAGGTGACCAGTCCTTCATGCGTGACCTCACTACCCCAAATACTAAACACGGACCTGACATGAAGGTTGGTATAAACTTTTAATTGTATAAGTTTATAAACAATATATAAAATAATCCACATCTACTTATATTATTATTTTATAATATCTAATTATGCTTATGCTGACAGCGAATATTTTACTTTGCGAAGCGAATAGAAACATCATTACAGTAATAATACTGTTCAATAAATTAAAACACAACATAAGTGCCTACGTATGGAAATTTTAAATACAACTAATTATACATATGTAACCTATAAATTTCAGATCGAGATAAGGAACGTCTCTATACCCATTATCCCGAAGCAAGCATTTGGTCATTCCGCTGCAAAAATAATGATGGAGTTGGTTGATGTAGGAGTTATCAACACTGCAGCTTTCTCCGGGAACACTTATAGCAACATCACTGCCATAAACTGCACATTTGGACTTATTGAAAAAGAGTCATTCAGCGCAAAGACACAGATAGAGTATTTAAGCTTCATAGAATGCGAAGTCAAGGAATTCTCTTCTAAAGCTCTGTTATCTGCTATTGAAAACCTTCATATATCACAATGCAGGTAATTGGCTCATTTGTTATGATTTCATTTGAAATGTTCAACAATGAGTAGACCATAGTGAGGACACATCTCTTATTTTTAGAAAAACTGCTACACCCGTGATACATAAGCGTATTCAGGTTGTAAGTCTTCATCATTTATTGCTATTCCTGGGGACTAAAGAAATCATGTCTCCGTAGGCTGTGATTCTTTGCCATATCGCACCCGTCTAACCGAAATACAACTTACAAAATAAGTTGTGACACACGTACCCACGCATTAGACTTTATACAAAATTTACCTAAGTAAAATGTTGATCAAAATTGATTGAGTTGAACAAAAGATACATCCATGGTAACAATACCATGCATGTATCTTTTGTACGTCATACACATATTACCAGCTACTGACGGATCAACTTTTATTCATATAAAAGCACAAGTGCTATTTCAGTAAAATTTGAAAGGGGAATATATTCTTTTAATTATATATAATATAAGAAATTGGAGATTGTCAGATAGTAGAGTTGTCAGATAGTAAGAGTTGGAGTTGTCTTTTCAAATAATAACATAAATGTTTATATTTGCCTCTCTATTCTATTAAGACCTTCTAATACGGACAATTTAAAATATTTAATTCATATTCCACTATTACCTTAGCCAAACTTGTTTTAAACTAACACAAACAGTATATATATAAATACAATATATTCATAAAGAGCAGCTGAAACACGTGAATGTTTCAGCTGCTCTTTATGAATATATTACAAACTGAATGTATAGAACAGGTACATTTTTATCATATCACAAATTAATACCTTCAATTCAAAATCACTAAAGCTGTACTTTTCTATATTGCAGATTTGAAAACATCGAGAAAAATGCTATTAGTGCTACCGTAGTGTCAGTTGCCATGCTGAATAACGTATTTCATAAATTTATGGAAAGAGGATTAGAATTTTTGTCACTAACTACACTTCAAATGGAACGAAATATATTTGATGAGCTTCCAACTAATGCTATAGTTGCTCCAGATGCATCCATCCATAATTTAATATTTACAGACAACGAAATTGAAACAATCAACCCAAACAGTCTAGGATTCATAGGGGAAACTATTCAGACTAATGTAGTCGAATATAAGCATAATTACTACGGTATTCGTTGTTATTGTAATGTAACACAAGTGTTAAATGAAGCTCTCGGTGTCAGTGACTCAGCGGTGTATGAAAATGAAAGTTATTGTACTGTTGAAGAATTCCCTGCGAAATGTTTCAATGTTCATGACCAAAATATGATTCTCAAGCGATATATTACAGAAATATGCGAAGCAGATACCGTAAAATGCGGGACATACGAGAATGGTTCCGAAATCAAGAACCCTAGATTCCCTCATAAAAGTGAAGAAGATGAAGGTTTAAGTGGTAGAAATAAAAAAGTTATAGGAATTGTAATAGTAACTATTTTGGGATGCATTGTCATTGCTTTGTTTATAAGCTTTATAAAATGGATGAGATTCAAAGGGTATTGTGTAAATGTAAAGAACTTTTTGATCTCATCTAATTCATCCTGTGGAACATTTTGCGATAGGCTATGCACATGCAATAGAAATAATAGCCTCGACAACGCCAGATCTATTTCACAATTATCTGTAAATGAATATTCAGAACGACACTGTCTCAATGAACCGCGAAGACAGGATCTAATTCAGGAGACAGCACTTCCAGAAACATATGTCGAAGAGCCATTAAATATGGATGACAAAACCACTCAAACATTACCTGAAGAACTCACAAAAGAGCTCTTAGAAAATTTAAAAACAAAATTAGAAGACCCAGAAAACTATGTAGAGGCACGCGAAATGATTGAACATTTATATGAGCTTATTAAAGTAGAAGAAAGTTGTAATACAAATAGCCGTACTCCAAAAAAAGAGGAAAATATATATGAGCTTCCATTTCAAAATACCACTCCAAGAATAGGTAAAAATAAAAAACAAATGATCAGCGTTGGTACCAGAACACCGTCATTAGACAAGCTGTTGCCGCTTTCGCCTTACAATAGACAGACAGCATTAGCCCACGAATATTTTGAGCCAAAAGATTTAGCTGTACATTTGTATGCTGAAATAGCTAATAGTGATAAAGAGAAAAAAATAATTGGTGCCATTCCAGATGTAATTGCCGAACAAGCTGAACCACGAGGTCCCTATCTCCGTGCAGTACGTGAAAAAATGAGTTCGGCTAGTCCTACGAGATCTCAATATAACGGGTCATCAAAAACTACACCACGTGTTAGCCCTATCACGAGCCCAATGCACATGTCAATAAAATCTAACAAATCTAATTCATCTAATTCCTCGAGTAAAATGTTAAACAGGCCGTTACCAGAAAAACCTACGGTAGACCCGGGAGAAGGCCCGTCATATCAACATGGTTGAATTAGGTACTCCAAAATTCGTTGACGCAGCGTTGGACCTAAAGAACGCCTGTGTTGATTGATCAACGTTTCTTTGCTGTGATATTAATTTGGTTTATATTATTTACCGTATGTATGTTGCAAGACGATGACGACTGATTGTGTCGCGCCTGACGCTTATAGATTTATATTTTGTAAATAATATGTTTAATCCTATAATTAATATGTAAGAGCCACACGATGGCGAAAAGTGCCACTTTAGTTTCAAGCATAGTTAAAATTTCATTACATGTGTCAGTGCTTTGCATTTTTTAAATAAAGTATCATGTTTACTTTATGTATATATCATGTTTATGTAATAACAAAATTTAATAGTCTTAGAAACATAGAAATTAATATTATATTGTACATTGAAAGAGAGTATAAGACTCTTTAATGCTACGTGTTGATTAAAAACAATTCCTTTATAAATACTACAATTATAACTGTATCAAAAGTATGTCTATTACAATTCTAACAGTAAATAACACAAAATATTAACAATCATCTAAACAGATATTTTTTACGAAGAATTCGAATATTTTCGGCATAATTAATACATAAAAGACAGTTCATTTTGTATATCATCATCAAAACAGAATTATGAATTATAGGTATTTGTCGCAAAAAAACACAATATCCTTTTACAAAATTGTCATTACCTACTTTGATCCCAAAGGTTAGTGAGTCAACTATACATCGTGTAATATATAGTATAAGACGTGATTTAAATGTATATGAAATCAAAAATATATAAAAGATTAGACGTATAAAATTATTGTGATGTCTTTAGAAACAAAATAATTATATATAACTACTTATATAGTTAATACCTTACACACTTTCCGTTTTTAAATGTAGTATTCACAGAATACTTAGATATTATACATGTATGTAAATATACCTACGTATATAAGAGTTTATTTTCAAATTTATGGTCCTGTGTGTCATGATGTATTTAGTATAGAATTTGTAATTTGAAGAATTGGTAAAGGAGCTTTAATTACGATAATTAACATTGTATAAAAGAATAGCTACGTTTATGAACTTTCTAGTTCTTATTGGTACATGTATTTTTCATATGTGTCGAATGTATTTAAACTTACTATATAAGGGCTTCAACATATATATTATATATGCTCATATGTATAAAATATATCAGTTCATCAATTTAGAAGCATTTTTGTATAATTATAATTACATTATGAAGTAAGAAGCCCTGTACTATGTAATTAAAGTTTAAGGCGTGAATCTGATGTAATGTAAAAAGGCATTCGCCGAGAGTGTTTAATACTGTAAAGAAGATGAACTCAACGCTTTATATATTAGATATTTAAGAATTAAGGATACAGTACCATTGTATAGTTGCTGTTGTTTTATGTATTGGATAATGGTACTAGATATAACAAGCTTATTGCTACTTTTATGTAAGTGAAAAACTTTCCCAAAAGAATGATAGTTTAGTTTCACTGTAGTCTATTTCCAACCAAATTAATATTTTAATGTAATAAACTGCATCATATTTGTGCTTGATACTAGAATTTCGGATAACAAAGATTTCCATCAGACCTCGCCTTAAATTTATAATTTATTTAAAGTACGCTGCAGATATCTGATGTGCCTGATGCAGTAACAATTGTGTATTTTCTATAATAATTATTATAGAAAATACACAATTGTTACTGCATAATTTCTTCAAATTAATAATAAATTCTATATTCCTAACCTTCCAAGGCTGGGTGAATCAGAACCGAAAACATAGGTAGGAAACATAGAACCGATTACACAGACTTATTACCTCTTGAAAAGAACCATAATTAATACATTTCGTACGTATTAATATACATTCACTTTTTGTTGGTGTGAAAGTTAAAAGACTACATAATATTATGTGAGTTCTGAACCAAAGAAATACCTCATCAGATTTCTGCAATGTACCATTATAGTTTATTTCAGTATGTCACGTTTTCTGCTGTTTACGTTTTCTGCTGATTCACATAGTAACTTCTGTTTCATTTATAATTTAATCAAATCTATAATAATTATGTATTATAGTCTTCCATTATATATCAGTAATGTAATTAAAATTGATATTGAACATAAATAATTATGAATTTCTTACATATAATTTAAACTGACCATTACATGTTTAAATTAAAATTACAGTTATTAATGTACGAGTAGTTGCTGCTTCCAGTGTATTACTGATATAATAAATAAATGTAAACTCTAATATACATATGTATAAGTACAATAATGTAATTTATAAATCCAAAAATGTTAGTATAAAGTGGCATTTACTAGATACAAGTGATCCAATATGTGCGATGTAATATTTTAGTGATTAATATAACAATGTATATAGATATAGATAGACGGTTACGAAGTCAAGTTCACACACAGGTGTAGCAGACACTATGTAAGAGTGACTATATAATATTCATTTCATGTTAAATACAAAATAAATGTTGAATGTGATATTGTTTTTTTTTTATTTATAATACCTCAAACAAATAGTGTTTAGATATAAATATTTATGAATAAGAAAACCAATCACAGTAATTATTTATGATTAACTTTCCTCCAAAAGTATAGAAAATATTTTATTTAATAGACCAGGCTGTCTGGAGGGTGGGATTTCCTCACATGCCCAACATTTAGATTTTTCAGGGACATATTTATACTGTTGGTATATTGAAAGTATGGTGCGGCGAAATTGTTCATAATTGCAGGCACAATTACATAACATTTAAAAATAATTTATTACTATTGTAACTCGAATGCGGCCATATTACTGTAGCCATAATAGTTGAAGACGTTGTTAACTGTGAACGATGCAGAGAACACAATATTGACTAACTCACGTTTCGCTTGACATATGTACCTATTTGGATCCGCCGTGTCAGATCAACCCACTGTCGTCTTTGTTTGGTGATATTAGTTTAGTCTGTTAGGAGTGTTGCCATTCCAAGAGTCAGTGTAAAATATAAATTGACGGTCTCTATGGCCAGTACCCATATATAAACCCAAGAATTGTCTAAAACTTACTTGTGGCCACAACCTAAATGCCTACGCTATAAAATGAGCAAATATTTGTATTGTTCCTTTCGCAACATTTTTCAACCAAGGCGTTTGAGAAATCCTGAATATAATAAAGCCGCAAAGAATCCATAATGAAAATGCTCTTTCTAGTAGAGTAGGCGTTGTGTTGCTTGTCGTGCGCAGATTAATGCTAATTAAATAGGTGTGGTCTAACAGCAAACAGTCAGCCTTTCGTCGTTGCATTTAGCTTTATGAGTTACTACTATTATAAACATAAATATATAAATTGCTGCGCGTCTCGTTTTCAAGTAAAAACTAATAAATATATATGTGTAAAATTTGATACACATGTAGAGGACTCGAATCATATTCTAAATTGAGGTAGACTCGTCTGCGTGGGTACTTCTGTCGTAACCTTTTCAGCCACCAAGCAGCTTGCTTTGTAAGCTGTTTCGGTGATAGGGTGTAATTAGGTTGCGAATTTACAAGATAACATCTTAGTCTTCCGGATTGGCAACGCATGAGTGTATCACTAGTATGTATAATAACGTGTGGTCCTACTGCTTTATGCAAATGACGGTTACCACTTACCGTTAGGTGAGCAGAGTCAGTTTTGCTACTGCAATTACTTAAAACAACTAGATAGATACAGGATATTTCATCACATACCATCGTGATTAATAACCGTAATCAAACTTTTATATCCAACTTAATTTTATAGTGAGCTAACTCGGTGCTCATTTGACTTATTTTGCCTTTAACTATGCCATCTCCTCCTCTATGTAACTCCTCAGCATTTTGATGTATACTATAAAATATTACTTTTTTCTGTATCTCAAGTCACTTCAAACAGTTGAAAACTTGGCTATGGATTTACACTGTGAATGAATATTAGAATCAGTATCATAAGAAACGTCAATTTATATCATCTGCACCTCTACCCTGGGTATATTAAAAATACTTTCTACAAAACTAATCGGAAGTAGCAATTGTATCCTACAAAAGTAGGTACCATTTTTTTATTCTATCGATAGCAATCGACGTTTTCAAGTCAACGTAGAGTCCATGATTCTCAACTTTGCCGCCAACCTATAATACTGAGTACGGTATCGCTTAATACATTTATGAAACCAACTGTACCAAACGTAAGAATGCAAGTGTGTCCAGTAATAACCAAGTAAGAATGCGGTCTAATTTATCGCACTGTGACGCGCCGGTGTCGAAAATATAACATCCGGTGCGCACGCGCAGACCGATACACGACAGTCTATGTGTCCAAAGAGACCCAATCTTTCATGTTTATTGGTACACATTTCATTCCTTGCGTTAACAGTAAGTATTGTTTAAAATTAGCCAATAGATCTTTTCTTACAGATACGTAATAAAAATGTATTTTTTCTTATTAAAAACAACAAAATGCTCTTTTTGTTTCATTTGCAGTGTAAATAAGAGTAAATCTATTAATGAATAAATATATACAAAGCTTACAATAATAAGCCGATAACGATACGGCCTTACCGGCAAATAGCCTTATTAAGAATTAAAGATATATAAGTAGCCTTAGAAGAATAAAAGATATATAAGTATATGAAGGTCTGGATAATATAAATCTCTCGACGCTATACATGTTAGTACTGTCGCGACTCTACTTTTTTTAAATAGACGGTAGATAGACGGGGAGTACTATATATAACCTGAAATTAAATAAACAAATGCCACTGACTGTAGTTATATAAACCCATCAACCAACCTGTCCGAACCTGGCAATCGTCTTCGTTACAGCGCCTATCAAAAACAAATCTCTATACGCTTATAATTGTGGCCGTACAGTCGGTCTTATAAATATATCAATTGCTAAAGATCGGAATGATCTTAGCTCGTACAAGTTAGCAATAAAATCCACGTATAATAACATTGAAAGCATATAGCTCGTAATTATTAGTAACTATACCTACTATACATCTTGGTTTTTAACTAATATCAAAATGTGAAAGAGATCCAAAATGACAATATTTTTTCCTCAGAAGTTTGCAGTTTTGAACAGATTTTGATAATTCGATTCTAAGTATGGTTGTACTACATACTTTCTAATGTGAATATCTTAAATATACATCCGGTATTTTAAAAATAAAATCATTCCAAAAATCATAAAAATACATTTCTTTTTCCAATTCTTATAAAATTATTAGCCAATTAGATAACACAAATATAGCAGTTTTAGTAAGTAGTTAAACATATTTGATTTTATATCTTTCTTTATTTAAGTTTAAGACGACTATTTCATTCGATTATATATTTTATATTCCATATATCAGCTATTATGAAGTTTAGGTTATCGTATGCCTCCCAATTCAATTATATATGACATTCACACCAAACGAAACAAAAATAATTGGAAGCTTAATGCAAAAGAAATCATAAACAAAAAGCAACGGGGTGAAGTGATAAACGATCGATAACCTTTGATATTATTACAATGACCTTTGTATCTTAACGTACGTCTTTTACAAGGACAACCAATGGGGATTCGGTTTACTGATAAGCGGAGTTTTTTAATCTTATATAGGAGAAGATCAACGATACTCAAAGAGACTCAAAACGATAATGAAGTTTTAAAAACCATTGAATAAGTTACAGATACGCAAAAGCACAATCTATTAAATATAAAGTTGAGTAGTATAGTACATTTGAAGATGCATTGTGCGGAGCCCTAAAATCAACCTAAGCGCGAATCCCATGACTGAACATGTCGTCATTGTTATATAGACATTTCATGTATAGAGACTTTATAAAGCCGTATTTACCCCTAGTTATATCTTGCATCAGATTTTAATAATATACCTGTATAATTCAGACAGCGCCATCTAATCCCAAGCTAAGCAGAGTTGCTTGAGAGCTCGCGTTATGTGTGCTACTGATCATACTCATGAATACAAATGTCAAAATCAAACACGCGACCAGCGAAAATAAAACGCAGTCCTAAACCGATGGACCACCGAAGCCATCAAGGATTGGTTAAAAATGTATCACATATTTTTGAAGAAAAATATCTAAATGTCAAAACTAGCATAAATTATTTATGCACCCATGCAAGTAGAAACCTCGGTGACAAAAAATCACTGCATATTCTTGAACATTCATGTTGCTGTAGTTGGTAACCCATAAATATGGGTAACCTAGGGTTATCCGTAGCTTATAAATCAGGTGATAAGGCTGCTTTATTTACTAAACGTAACATTATTAATTAGTGAATAGTTTAATTATGCAATGCAATAAATTATGAGACAGCAATGGGAGACTTTAGATGCAGTCGTCAATTTGGATGTTTCTATCACTGTGAACATTAAAATATATATACTTATAACATGACTCAGATTACAATGCAAAACAACACTTCCTGTCGAAATCAAACATTAAATCTTACATATTCAACTAATTCTATTGCTACTGTTAGGCTTGGTAAACTTTTACTAACCTTGTATAGAGTACTTTACATTTTTCACGTCTTAATAATTATGTTATTATTTATGTAAATGATCTTATAAAATAACCAGTGTCATAAACACAGGTCAATCTATATCCCTTATATTTTTGTATTTGTAATCTGTATTCATTGTATTACTAATTACTGCAATTACTGTCTGAAAGAACTTACGATAATGGCGCCTTTTGTTTAGCACGTTTATGTAAAGTATTCTTTTTGTAAATATTTTTCTGTGCACAATAAAGAGTTACATTATTATTATTACTCTTTCGAACCCTGTATTTACATTCATCTATATAATTTTTACGCAATTTCGAATCTTCATTACCCGTACAGTTTAGCTACTTATTCTGGCATTTCCCACCAAACATTATGTTCATTACTGGAAACAGTCACGAATTACGTAGCAATTGCAAAACCGTTTACAGTAATTTACTACATAGCCACCGTGCGACACGAATATGGATCTTACCACCATCTTTCATAACGACGTGAATTGCTTTATTATATCCAATGAATTTATCTTAATATTATATATCTGAATAAAATATGAATAATACTAGTCATCATAGGAATAGTAGCAAAGCCGAATTAAATGTATTTTTTTCTAATACAATACCAGTTCAAATTTACCTACCATTTAGTAGTTGCAAATTTAAACTGTACAATATAGCTTCAGACTGCCTCTTACAAATAATTTGACCAATCAACAAAATAAACCTTAAAGGTTAGTTAGTTAGACCCTAGTAATCCTCGGTTAGAGTTTCCCTATTTATTCAATCTTTTCTTTACAGTCTGTTAGTAATATAATTGCAATTTTCAATTGTTCAACTACAAATATGATAATATTTCGACTTTGACTATCCCTATTTATATCCTGTTAATATAAATTAGGACAGTCAAATTTTTATTTGCATCGATTGTAATAATACTTTTTATAATAGTTTCAAGTTACACGCATGTTGATGTCATACGATTTTTGTCACAATATAGTTTTTGTGAAATAATATCTAAGTGGTTTCAACGTGTGACACTCCAATTTCAACCTTAGTGTAACCATTGCACACACGTAGAGACGTGAAGGTCGCGCGAACAGAGCGGCGCACGCGCAACTATCCGCGAGCACAACCGCATCGGTCGCCGTCGCGAGAACCGGCATCATTCGACGTCCGTACGGGACTGTGCATCCCATCCAAATATACAATACGACCGGAAGATTTATTATTGACGAAGTAATGAATAAAACTTAATTTTACATACAAACTTATGTGACATTTGTCGTTGATACTATGTCTATTGTTATTGTATACATTAAACATAATTGTGTATCAGTTCAAACCTGGATTCGTGAGGTGAGTGCATAAACATCTTTATATTTCTTACATCAATTATCTTGAATAGTACAAATATGTTAGTTGAATTTTGGCACCGAGTCAAACCGGCAATCTAAAACACATGTCTACACAAAACCTTATAATTGCGTTCATGCGTCAGTTATGTTCGAGTGTGCATAAATTTTTATCATATATTATATCAGAAATATAGAGAAGCCAAAAATTGTACGTAACTCTATAATAAATCGAAGGAACGTAGATATATGGGTTGATTGTTATTCGTATTTTATATTTCGTATTGCTTGGGATATATTAACACAGTCTTTTTTACATCCCGAATGTCAAACACACTATTGTTCCACCTGGTATAAAACGATATGAACAGCAACACGGAGGAATAAACTCGTACCCTAGTAGTAAAATGCGTTCTTATTCATGAAGACATTATTTATTATGCCTTTAAACTTAATTAAAATCATTCGACTTTGGTTTCAGTAATCATAATGCATCTTAATACATATACAAATCCTTTGTTGTAATCTACAAAGGGACAAAGTCACCAGCGGCAACTAGTATCTAGTCATACACTGAACTGAATTAACATTTAATTAAATAAGATGTGAGAACTAACAAATTAATGACTCAGATCAGTAATTCAAAACAATCAGTAATATATAAATATTTTTTACCTTTCCGTAATAACTTATTGGTACTAAGTAAAAGTGTGACTTGTTAATGTCAGAAAGTTCTAAATTATGAATATGCTATTTCTCATAGTTATACATAATAAATATGATGAGGTATTGGGTTTTATACAAAACATATTAGTCATCAAATATCATTACTAATATTAATATAATATATTTAGCAAAAATAAATACAGAATAAATTTTAATTATCCAAGTAGGTGTATACTTGGATAATTAAAATGTTTACAATGCACCCGTACGAAGCTGGGGCGGACAGTTAGTTTAATATGAACACCGACTAAAATAAACACACTCGAAGAAGAGTCCATACTAATACATTTATTGCGCATCTAATTAATTTAAATGCGTATATTTAATAAGTTATGGCAATAGCGAGCTTGTCCCATTAGCCAGAGCATGAGAACAACGGCCGCTAGGAGCCTACCGTAAACAAACCGGACGGTTTTAAGAACTGCCCGTATAAATAAACATACTAATGTGCTGCATTGATTCATAGAAACAATATTATAAACATACGGCGACAATTGTGCTTACATATTTGACATTTATTAATTTTTTTGAACATATTCCATTATTTTATATTATTTCTAGTTACTAAATAACACATTTGTCCATTTCCGTATAAAACATTCCAAATATTTATATATGGTTTTGTTTTACATGTTGCTGTTTGATTTGCAATACTATTATTTATAAAATCAATAGAGGAGGAAGGATTTCTAAAACAGTTTTAATAGTTACGCATTTTGTTAAATTATATATGAGTATCTCTGGGTACAGACCAACGCCCTTTGAACTAAAGAATTATCCCACGCACAGGAAGCATTGTCATGATTTAACTGAGCCGTACACTCAGGATGAAGAAACTCAGCGAAATTGTTCCATATATATTTTACTAGCTGACCCGCGCCACTTCGTCTGCATCACACCTATTTAACATTTATTATTATATTTCACCCAATTTACATATCTGTTTAAATTATCTCTTTGATATTCTGATGTATAAGCTACTGCTGTAAAGATTCATCAAAATCCGTTTAGTAGTTTTTGCATAAAAGAGACCAAACATCCATCTACATATGCTTTCAAACTATCGTGTTTATAATATTAGTAAGATTCACAATAGGCATTGTGAATGATATACCTGGTATAAAGGACAAATAACATCATAGTAAGTGTTAACTTATAATTTAATATATACATATTTGTTACATAATTATTTACCTACAATTATATTTACAATATGCATCCCGCGACAATGTCCGTGAGAAATATATACCATCGATGTTCTTCACAATTAATTAATAGATAAAAGAATTTTTTCCCCTTATAAATAAAAAGTTCTAATTTCTATACTTATTTTTACAACACGAGAACTTGAGCAGAGAGCTATTATAGTTTTTAGTTAACTAAAAATATCTTATTAGCTATTCATTCATTTTAATATATATTTCATTCAGGATTCAAGCGATAATCTTTAAATTAAATTCTTTGAAAATCTCTTACTACTATGCACTGATTTCTTAAATATAGGTATTAATTTTTCCAATTAATATGTATATATATTTTTACAAATATAAAACGATACTTATAAGTAGGCGATTAATAAAAAAAGGTAACGTTTCATAATGTATACGAATAAATAAAATATTTATTCATATATTATTTACGATAAAATGGACTGAGTACCTCCCCTTTTTGAAACTCAATTGAAAAAAGATTGATGTTCCGATGGTATTCATGTTAATTTATGTCTGAACTGAGGCTTGCAAAATGTGCCCCAAAGCATCAATAAAAAGATACAAGATCAAGTCCACATCAACCGTGTTCAACGTTGCCGGCGTTATCGTAATATTCCTGCAGAGTTTCCTACCCTGGGGTTAAAAACTTTTAATTAATTTCAACATTTCTTTTTGGCCACTATCGATTAAAGGATTAGTAAAAGGTTGTTAGTTCTAAAAAAGTATTTGACTTTTCAGTCACATTCAAGTTAAAAACCAAATATTAAAACTAAAAATCTGTCTGACATATGTATATATATAATACTAATTATTTAAATTTACATTAGGCGTACTATAAATATTAGCTCATGTTATAAAAAAAAGGTATGATATGACATTCTCAGAATGCGGGCGTATAAAATTCAATACTTATGTGTGTAGTGTAGTATCACGAAAAGTTATTGCAAAGGGAAAGAGTAGCGAAAGTTCGATGTAACCCGGTCACTCAATTTGATATATGAAGATCAATAAAAGCCGGTTGCAAAAAACTGTATTAAAAAAGATGCCAAAATATTGAAACATAAGAAAAAATGTTAACAGTGATTAATGATTTAATTTAATTTTAACGATATGTAGATATTTTAAGGGACCGCGCCGACATAAATATATCTCAGTTAATTATGGAAAAGAAACGAACGAAAATAAAGTATGTATAAGTAATTTGTACTGTATCTAATAGAATAACAGAAATTACATACTAATCGAACAGCAACTACACCTTTAAAAAGATTTAATTATACAGAATATGTCAGAAATTATCGACACTATCTTTTCGGGACACAGCCATAGTAGCCGTGATTGATTACTATTTAATTAAACATAAATGTGTACATTTACAAATGATGATAATGTAGACATAAACTTCCGTATTGAGAACATACCGTGAGCTTGCAATACGCAATATATGTATTTGTCTAAATAATATTGTAATATTAACTGTGCTGTTTAAGCATACAATACAAAACATATAAAACGATGTCTTCAATAGTCACATTTTTATATTTCTAACACTGTTCTATTTATATCTATACATAGCATTTACAATAACTACATTTATTGCATTAATATATATAAGATTTGGGATTAAATAAGCTGTCAAAAAGGAAATAGCCTGTTTAAATTTAATGGAATAATCTCAGTTGGCCGGTGAATGCATTCAGGCAATATCATAATAATGCCAGATACTTGTGCAATGTGATGTATCATACACATGCGTTCAAACATCACAACTGAGAAACACCCAAAGAATAACTAATATTATTCATTATTTAAACTGAACTAACAATAATGTATTATAGTATAATATCTACTGACAGGCAAAGATAATATTCACCATTTGTGGTTAGCAGTATTAATATAGTTTTTTAACAATCAATTTCAAAGTTGTAGACGTTCTGACACTTCTTAGCGTATATATTTTTATTAATTCTAATCTGCTTCTCATATAAGTAACTGTATACTATATTTTTTATTACTATTTAAAATGTTGTAGGCATGAGACGAGTCTTGCAAGAGTACGAAGTAAGAGAAATTTGCAGGTAGATCCTTACGAGGCATTACTAAGTATATAACGTGTATGACATTTGGTCTCTTATGGCACAACAGGCATAGTACCGACCACGGTTCTCTTACATATTTTACCAGACAGGCCTGGTGATATGTCTATTAAGTTATTGACGTAATGCCAATTTTGATTGTACGAATGATCTACGTTGACGAATCATCAGTTTAGGATAAAAGAATACAAAATATTTATTAATATGAAGATCACATTATACAGAACAGTATTGTATTTAACACTTACATAAAAGACACGAATAACTTCGTGCATGTGTGAACAATTTACATCATACACAATAATGCAATGATGTCTAATGTTTATCTTTTTCTAACTATATAATATAATATATAATCTTTCAATTTAATTTATAAATAAGTATAATCTAAGACAAACGAAATGGAGAAAAGGTCCTTCGGTTAATCAGTCATATTAAAGCAAATTAGGTCGTACTATTCAACAGTTGACCTGAGCAATTAAGGGGGCACTTTAGTAATAATTTAAAATGTTGCGTACCTGAAATGTATGTTGTTAGAAGATCAAAATACCTATGTCAGTCTTTTCAAAAAACATTCTATTCAAAGAAACTTTTATCAACATTCCTCGAATAAAATTAACAAGGAAATCTTGAAAAATACGTATTGGTGAATAAAAGCTTTGATCAAAAAACTGCTAACCAACATTGCTCAACCGAGAATCGAACTAAGAATTCCGAAGCTGAAACCAATGTAAACATTCATTCAATGAAATGAACACAACTACAATGTTTTTGAAACCAGAACAATTAAATGTATACAATGAGACCAAGAAAGGTTCGTGATTTCTCGAGCTCGTTCTACATTGTTTTCCATAAAACGATAAGCTTTAACTTGGTAACATATTATGGAAATACCAGATACAAATAGTTTATTTTTTATTTAAAGTTGTACATTTTAAAATATAGGTAAAGCAACTACTTATATGACATAA